TCTTCTTCTTCTACTTCTTCTGCTTCCGTATCAACCGAGTCCAAAGAGAAGAAGAAGGAAAATTTACCTTGGTTAATCGTTGGCCTCGGCAATCCAGGCAAAAAGTACGCTGCCACTCGCCACAATGTCTGTCAGTCACACTATGCATACCCTCTCCATCTTTTCATTTTGGATAGTTATAAAATCAGTTTTGCGTTGCATTTTTTGACATTTATATTATTATAACCTGTTTTGGAGCTTTATATTTTCAGGTGGGCTTTGAGATGGTTGATGCCATAGCTGAAGCTGAAGGGATATCTATGAACACTGTTTCCTTCAAAGCTTTATTTGGGAAAGGTTAGATAGACCTTGACAAAACCCTGCCTCTAATATATCTCTTCAGTTAATTTGGTTTTATCTTTTCATAGAGACATGTCAGTCAGCTTTAAAATTCAAAGTCTAGGTTATTGGTAAAGATATGATTTCTCTCTTGCTCCTAGATATCACAAGTAGGAATAATGCTCGTTTTCTTTTTCTGCAATGCTTCTAACCATTGTGTTATCTCACTGTACAAAGTTACGAGCATTTTGGTTTATCTCGCGGGTGGCAATTTTTTGGGAGCTGTCTTACATGTACATTGTACGATTTAAAATACATATACAATTTAACCAATATATAATCAGTTTTAGTGTCGGTTAGTTTATGCCACTATTCCGGATTGATAGATATGATATGCCTTGCATACTTCTAACATATATGTCTGAACTCTGAATTCCTAACTCCTCATCATCCTTACCTGTTTTAGCATCATTTTTGTATTCAGTTTTCTGCGCTATGATGATAACTTTTACTTTTTAGATAAGCCCAATTGCGTTGTGGTTCGGGATTTCTGTTGTTGTTAAGTGCGATAGAAGTTTCTTGCCAAACCTGAATCCATTTGTATTTAATCACCAAATTAATGTAGTTGCCATGTTACGGTTTTTGCTTAAATTTTCAAATATTGCAGACAGACGCTGGTTCCACAAGCTTTCAGAATATTGGTGATAAAAGCAAATGGATAAAAATTTAAGTATTTGCATGTTCCCATTCGTGACGGAAATTGTTTTCTGGTTGCAGGTTTAATAGGTGATGTCCCAGTCATACTTGCAAAACCACAGACTTTTATGAATTCTAGCGGTGAATCTGTATGTGTCTATCTGGATATAATGTTCAAATGTTTTAAAGCAATGACATTTTGTTGTAGCTATGCTATGATGACTCGTGTTTACTCTTATGACATCAATTATTTCTTTTAATTTAAAGCTCTTTCTTAAGGTCAAATTTATACATTTTATTATATAGTCATGTATTATATGGTTTTTAAAAAAAATTCCATGTCTACATGTCCATGTCCTTGTCATAATATATCTATATTCCAAGTTGGACCTTCACTTCCTAAGAAATCACTGTAATAAATATTATATTTTGATTATTATGGGTTGTTGTTTCGATCTATTTTGAAGGTTGGGGCCATAGTTTCGTACTACAAGATTCCACTAAAGCAAGTACTTGTGGTATAATATCTATGCTATGACTACGTTGTTCTTTTTACTTTTAAAGCAATATGGCATTGATAATTTTCTTTTTCAGATCTTTGATGACTTGGATTTACCTTTTGCTAAATTGCGGCTTCTACCAAAGGGTGGACATGGAGGCCACAATGGGTAATTATAATTTTCTTTATTTGCGCACTCTTTTTGCCACAGAACCTGGTGTATGCCTGCTTTGGCACCTTTGAATCTATAAATCAACATGTCCATTGTTGTGAATAGCAAGGCCGGGATTGTTCGTATTTCTGAAAGTTGAAATGTGATATTTATCTTCCTTTAGTCACACCCACAAGGTCAGGGAAATGCTAGAAAAATACTTTGTTGCACAATCATCTTTTTTCATGCTCATCTGGATCAAGGAAAACTATTAGGTTGTGGGATGCTAGACTCGCATGCCTTGTCTTGGAAAGGAACTATTTATTTTCATCTGATGAGGTTACATTTTTTGCATTCTGGCTAATGATCAAGATGATATCCTCGCTCAGTCTTGGGGCAAAGGGTGTTTGAGTGGCCTTGTTGTACAACCAGTACAAACATACAGAGAACTAGAAAAATTACTATAGGGAAAAAAAGTGAACAACTCCCTTTCTCTGCTGAGATAATATGTAGGGATAAATCAGCCTCCTTGTCTCTGCATCAAATCATTTGATTTATGTGGTTTTTTACTGTGCAAGTTTAAGAAACTCATTTCTTGTGTTGGGGAGTGCATTGGGGGAACTGTATATTCTGAGGGCAGGCATGCCAGAAGGCTAACTATTTGTATTATGATAATTTATACTGGGTGATATAGCAATAAGCATTTACCTTGTTTCTTTCAAATCGAAAGAGAAATTAAGTGTCACTGTTTTCATTTTCCTTGTTTTTTGGCAGAATGAAGAGTGTTATTAATCATTTCAAAGGGAATACTGGTTTTCCTCGTTTAAGAATTGGTAAATTCATACCATTTCAGTAATTTATAATACATCTGTATTACAATAATTTATAATACGATTCTATTTTATTGCTGATTAGGCATCGGACGACCTCCCGGTAAAATGGATCCTGTAGCATTTGTTCTTCGCACGTTCACTAAACAGGAAAGAGAAGAGGTATGCATTTTGTTCACTTTTTGAAGTTTGAACTGACAACTGACTTGCCACACATGGAAGTTCTAAACGTTCATAAAATTATCTCAGTTGAGTTTTACATTACAAGATGGAATAGAAGCTCTTCGGATTCTTTTGCTGGAAGGATTTGATAAAAGTGCAACATTTGTTAATAGTGCCAAAAAGATAGAGCAAACAGGTTGAGGAATAGCTTATTGAATATCCTTTTGACAAGTACAAACAAGGATCGTATAGCAAGGAGATACATACTAAAAAAGAGTAAATTCGTTCAAGCAAATATTTATCCATTCTTTAAGAGGCAGTTTCTGCTCATTGAATTCGAACCTGAAGCTTGGAATCTTCGGATACTATTCTGTTGTGTTTTTTCAATTTTAAGCCCTGCCAGCACCCTGAATTATATAGTGTACAATGTTGTGAAATTATTATTAGGCAGTTGCAGGTAACTTATATAATAATGATCACATAAGATCACTTTCTCTGTTTGTAAAGATCCCATTTTTAGCTGCCAGGAAGTTAATAGCTCAAATTCACTCAACATCTGTCTTTTATTCTTTATCACTTTGTACTAGAAGGTTTTTCCCAAGATTTTTATTGGTTGACAAGACTATTTATACAACACTTGCTGATGCATGATGTGGTCAATGAGTTGTGTTTCTTAATCAAAGTTATTGCGTATAATCTCTGCTTACATATGTACGACAATGCCTATTCTCTTTATTTCCAATGTATTATTTAAGCTAAATTAAATAATTTTGATATTGGTTTTCTCTCGAAATTAAATCAATCTGGTCTTATAGAACTAAGATAAATTTATCCTTGAGAATTAAAATTATAACTTAAAATTTAGAAATTAGTTCAGTTTAAATTTTGTCTTTTCATTGGCAGATACTAATAGATGCTAAGTGTTGACTTTTCAATGCTTGATTCCGTTTTTCAAGCTCATAGTACAAATTAAACAAACTTACTCTTTTACCATTTGTTTCCTCATAAAAATTGAAAGCTTTTTTATATAATTATAATAATTAATTTTTATATAAAAGTTAAAAATATTTTATAACTATTTTTAATACATGTTTTTATTATAAGTTTACAAATCCTATTCTATAGTTATTAGTAAAAAACTTGGATATCTACTTTTATTTCATTGTAGGTAATTATTTTGATTTAAAAATAGTTAAATTTAAAGAAACATTTATTTAAAAGTAGAATGGTAAGATAATTATTTTATTTAAAATATGTATTTAAATAAACATTTACTTAAATGATAAAAATGATAAATTAAAAAGAAAAATCTTATTATTAATGTTGTCAAAATGGATCACGAGTTTGGTCTACGAGTTGGTTACTTAATTGACTTGTTGGTTTATTTAATTATAAATTTTTGTTTTTTTCAATTTAAAAAAATTAACAATTTTTTTCTAACTTAAACCTAAATAAAATTTAGTCTAAAATTATATTAAACTCTAGAGATAATTAAATAAAAATACAATATAATCTAAATACAATCCAAAATCAAGTTTAAAAACAAAAACATGAATAATTTTTGTATTACTTATGCCTCTATAAAATTAAAGTCTCTAATGGATCCATAATATTTTACTTTCTTGAAACATTTTTTTTTATCCTTGTCTAAAGTACTATTTATCATTGTCTAGAATATAATAAAAAAAATACTAATTAATAATATCAAAACACACAGTTAAGTAATGTTATGAGTCAATCTAACTTACGAAAGATTAAACTCAGATGAGTTTGACTCAATTAATCCGTATCAAAATTTTAATTTTTTTTTAATCTAATTAAGTTCGAACTCGTGTGACCTAGTTTAGGAGTTTTAACCTAATACTAGTTAATATGAAAACATATTTTGTGTATAGATAAGTAAAGAATAAATAAATTTTACAATTTTATTTGTATATTTTTTTGGGAGATAGATTTTACTATAAATAGTTATTTTCGTTTAAAAAATAATTAAATTTTAGGAATAAAATATTAAAAAAACTGGTTAAATAAAAAAAATCACATAAAAGGTAATTTAATTAAATAACTATTTTAATTTAAAAAATATTTAAAAGATAAAATTGAAGATGAATCCCAAAAAGTTGAATTATTATAAATATTCTATATATAGATATAGACCGTATAGATAATATTATAATTTTTTTATGTATAAAGTTTAATAACTATAACAAACTTTAACAATTTTTTTCAATTTATTTAATCAAAACAACTTTTTAATTATACTTTTAGTTTTATTATCATAAAAATGTGCACACTTCCAACTTTCTCAAGAATAAAGATAACAATTACTTCACTAAGAAAATAAAATCTTGGTATAACTCCATTAACACGTAGTTTGTTTGTTTGTACAGATCTGAAGGGCCCAACCCAAGACGTGGCATGGATTGAATCCCAGAAAACCCGCCATCCTCTCTTCATTCTTTTTCATTTCCTTCTCACTGCTCTTTCTTTGCACTCTTTCTCATCTAAACCCTTCAATCTCAACTTTCTCTTACTCAAACCAGTCATGTATGGCGGTGGTCAGTGTTCACTCTTTTCTTTCCTATCTCCTTTTCAGCTTTCTTAATCTCTGATTTTCGTTTTCATTTTAATCTTTTTGTTCGTAATTCACAGACGAAGTATCAGCCATAGTAATAGACCTGGGTTCGCATACATGCAAAGCCGGTTACGCTGGCGAAGATGCTCCCAAGGCCGTTTTCCCCTCTGTAAGTGTCTCTTTTAATTGTGACCTACACTCTTAGCAAACCTTCTATTCTTGCTTTTTTCCATCAAATAGAAATTTAAATGCTCATCTGTTTTAAGCTTATTTAGCATTCACTAACCTAAACTTCCGAAAATTCTTGTATTCTTCTCGTGTTTTTTTAATCTTAAGTGCGTCTTATTAATATGGATTTTATATATGGAAAAGGTTTCTCAAGCCTTACACACCTTAGCAAGGATTCATTTCATAGAATGTATAATTTGTAAGACTGAATTTTTATATGCAAAATTTTTGGGGATTGAGTTGACACACATTACTATTGAGGATGAGATTGTATATTGAGTTGTCCATGTTTTGAGCAGTTATATTAATTTTACACTGTTATTCATTTTCAGTTCTGCTCTGGAATTTTGTCCTGTAATAGTTAACATGACCTAATTTCAGTAGTTGATTGTATAATCAATAATCAATGCATGCATATGAATAACAAATCATGATGCATGCGTTGACATATAATTGATTTTCTCTAGATAATACCTGGTTTACATTTTCTTTATTTGAACCAAATCCATTCATGTAGTGAATTGATAACTATTGGTGCTTGATCTTAAATAATACTGTTGGAGAATCCATAACAAATTTTTGTAAGGGATATCTGTAAAATTTATAGTAGTTACATATAGTGATTGGTTATTTAGGTTGTTGGTGCAATTGATCAAATGGACATTGATGGACCTGTTTATGCTGGAGTGTCATCTGGTTCTGCTGTGGATTTACAAAACAATAAAAAAAATCATGAATCTGACAGAACCAAGGAAAAATGCAAACTTTATGTAGGATCTCAGTCCTTGGGATACCGTCGAGACTATATGGAGGTATTTGAAATATCTGCTAAATTAGGCTTTAATTAACTCAGTTTTGTACTAATTATGTTCTTTTTTGGTAATTTATCTGGTATACTGTTCAGCTGCTCTCACCATTGAAGAATGGAGTTATTGTTGACTGGAATATTGTTGACAACATATGGGATCATGCTTTGAGGTTGTTTCTGAATACTGAAAAATTGTATAATCTGGAATGAAAGATCATCATTTTCTTCTCTTCTTTTGGATTGTATACAGGATCATTATTTTCTTTACATATCATATGCAGTTGTGGATTGCCAAGGTTCTTACTTTGGAATCTTGTGATGGTTTTTATCATATGTGGTGGTCCCAAGAATTTTTCAAGTCTAGTATGTAGAGAGTAAAAAGGGGATATGTGTGGTTGAGATATACCGTTATTTATGCTAGGACACATGTTACACTAATCTCATTTTATGTTTACCAATCCGAGTTGTATGCGTGATGTTTTTCCATCTGTGTCAAGTATTGTTCTCTAATGCATTGCTGTTAATTTATTCTTCTCTTTTTATGTTTTATTCTACTATTCACTGTGACTGTTTTTTCAGGGAATGCCTCTTAGTTGATCCTAAAGAGCGTCCAATGCTACATTAAGGTGGAACTTGGACGGAATAGACTAACCTTGGGTGGCAGCTGTTGAGGGCATCCCAGCTATTACATCACCCGGGTACAAAAACGTCGTAGCTACACAGAATTCATACAATCCGGACAGTCAGAGTAAAGTGGTCGGTTATTGCATGCTTTGACGTGAAATTTTGATTGGAAGTGCATGATGGATGTTACATGATGTATATTGAATTATGTTAGATTTATGTGAAGTATAGGTTGATTAAATTAATTAAATTACATAAACTTACCCTATTTTTTGTCTTGTCTATTTTTGTGTGAACCATAGGACCGTTTGGTCATTAGAATTGTTTTATTTTGTATAACCGATCGGTATGAGCGTAGTGCTGGGAACCCATCGGTCTAGATTGTGGTTTCGTAAATCTTAAAGTTTGTAGTATTTTGTAAACGTATCCCTTTGCTTTCAGAACTAAACTGTAATATTATTAATATGTGATATCTCCTTTAGAGACTTACTAAAAAAAAGTAGTATTTATCATAAAAAATGTCATGTTCAAGCTTACAAAATTTAACTTGATTTATTTTCATCATTGTCTCTTGGTAAAAAGATAAGGACGTATGAAGCTATAAATGTTTATATTCACGTTTCAGTAAATTATAGGTAAAATCATGGCATGATGCATAATTTGAAGGATTTGGGACGCTCTCACTAAAAACACAACACACATTATGTCTGAAGTTCCAAACACATGACCAAAACGAAACTTCTTAAACTTAATGAATTAACTGGAACGTACATTGGCCATAGTTTTTTTAAGCCTATGAAAAAATCAAACCAATATGAAAAATATTCAAGAAAGGTGAAAAGTTGGTTACTTGTAAGCAGATAATATCAGGGTCCCATCCAAGAAGTTCAATTTCGAAAATAACCCTCTTGCGACGATCCCATTTGATGTAACGAGAAGGAACGTTTACGTATAAATCAGAGTGTTGAGAAGCATTCCTATCCCCCAGTATGTTGTAAGAGGCCACTGTGAATCTTTCCGGAGAATCTAAAGATTCATCAGATGCTTCCACCCAATGGCGTTTAATTTCGGGCGGGTGACGGAGGTTTCTTTGGGTATACGACTCTGAATGCCATTGGATTTGTGAGGCGATGGGAGCATTGAATTTGAAGCAGCTGGGTTTGTGTTTAGCGTTGGTGGATGAGAGCACGAGCCAAGACGAAGATGCACAAGAGGCCATTACTCTCTCTCTTCTCTCCCTTTGAAATTGAATGAACGACCAAACGCCCAAGTTTACAATAGCGCCACAATTCGTTATCCCATCTCAATGCATTTCCCTCCCTTTAATCTAACTGTTTATTATTTATTTTTTGTCTTTCTTTCTCTCTTTGACTAAATATATTTTAAAAAGTCTGTTTAATGCAGTGAAATGGTGTAAAAAAACTGTTTTATTCTGTTAACAATTTTCTTCACATTTAACATGAATTTTTATCCAAAATTTATTATACTTTCGATCTTTAGAAATTAAACATTTTTACATAAATTCTTCCAAAAAATGTTAAATTAATTTGAGTTCTCATGTAAATTAAAGTCTATTTGTATTGGCCTCAATTTTCTTAAAAGAAATTAAATGAGTGAAATCTTATCAAAATTAAACACAGCATCAACTACTTCTTTTTAAAAGTTTAGGATATGATGTTCTTCACATAACACGTATGTGGGAAAGATGCATTGGTAGGTGCAATTTTCTATTCTATTCCTTCACAACCAACCATAGCAACTTAGTTTTTTCTCTTTTCCCCCACAAAATTAGGTTTTTGTTTATTAAAACAACTAAATTATTATTTTATAACAATAATATTAAGAAAATATGACAATTAAAAATAAAATCAATTTATAATATATAAATAGATATAAATATTATCTAATTTTACAAAATTCAATTAGATTTAAATTCTATTTATTAACCTGATATGATCATTGATTTTATAAGATTTATACCTATTTATAAGGATTAAATATCAATCTACACTCATCCGTTGCTACCCTTAGTTGCATGAGTGTACAAAATGAACTAAAAAATTTGCAAGGAAAACAAATTGACCTTCCAAGGTCAAAATTGTAAATGAAAAAAGTGAAGAATAGTAAAACCTGGGAATGTACATAAAACAGAGAATTTGGCGCTAAAATAAAGTAGTCTCATCCGAGTTGTTGACTTCCTAGTGAAATTCTTTTGAGCTAACTTCACTATCATCTCAAACATTCAACACAAAAATTTGCAATGTTAAAGTCTACTACTTTTTTTTAAGAGGTTTAGGATATGATGATCTTTACATAACACTATGTGGAGATGTATTGATAGGTGAATTTTTCTATTCTATTCCTTCACAACCACACCATAGCAACTTAACTTTGTTCCTTTTCCCTACAAAACTAGGTTTTTGTTTATTAAAACACCTAAATTATTATTTTACAATAATGATATTAAAGAAAGTATGATCAATTAAAAATAAAATCAATTTATAATATATAAATATATATAAATATTATCCAATTTTATAAAATTCAATTAGATTTAAAGTTTATTTATTGGCCTGATATCATAATTGATTTTATAAAATTTATATTTATTTTAAGGATTAAATAGTCAATCCCACATTCACAGTTGCTAAACCTTAGTTGCATGAGTGTACAAATAACATTTCTCTTTTCAAGGACCATGGATTATCTAGGCAGACTTCCCATATCAACAAACCTTAGAAATCTGGTCCTAACTAATGAAGACATTAATACACGTTTTTTCACATTGTAACTTGTTACATTTACATTTTCCTCCAAAAAAGTATGGTACAACTTTTTGGCTTTGTTAAAGTGCATTGCAAGTAATGTCACGGATACTACTGCATTAGCATCATCAAGTACAAACGTCAATAGCATATTCATTACACAATGTGGAAAGGGGGATCAAGGCATTACACAATGTGGAAAAGGGGGGATCAAGGCATTACCACAAGGGGAAAGGGGGTTCAATGCATACACCGTGTGGAAAGGGGGATTCAAGGCATACACAGTGTGAAAAAGGGGATTCAAGCATTACACAATGGGAAAAAAAAAGGGGATCACAGGCATTACACAAATGTGGAAAAGGGGATAACGCGACGCAGAAAAAAGGAAATGAGGTTATGCCAGTTACAGTGTAGCTATATCAGCCTAGTTTAGAATCAACATGTATCACACCCGTTAGAAACTCAAGGGCATTTTCTTTGGATATAAGAAGCACCTTGCTCTTCATACCTATCCATAGCACACTGAATTAGCTTTGTATTTAAAAGATTACAATCATGAGTACAGAATTTTTAAGTCAGTTTTCATGGTGATCTAATTTGAATAACTGAACTCTTTCGCAATCAGCTAACACTTACTCAGACTTGGAGAACCACATCTGCTGGAAGGAGCCAAGAGAAGCCAATATACTCCCCCTATCCAAACACTGCAAGATATTTACCATCATGATTAAAAGGATAAATGAGCTTGATGTGTAAACAAGCTACATAATCTTAAATTGCATTGTATCATTAAAGTGAAAATAACTAATGAAGAAAGGAGGGAGAACTGGAGCAGATGTTGCAACATGAACCAACTCATCATAATATCATCACAGCCGCGTGAAATTGAGAAAAATACAGACAAGCACAGATGAACATCCCACCTGAACCTTTCTTTCAGGTAGCATTCGCCACTGAACAAATACTTTAACCGAGCAGCTTGAGGGGAACCTACAAAACAGAAAATCACATCTCAAACATCTTGTTTATATATTAATATAAAAGCAATTGCCTACAACCCAAAAAACATCATTCAAGTATACGTCTGACATGTAAATAATATCGTTTCATACTGAATATTTTCCAACCAATTTCCACAAAACAGACAGAAGGTTGTGTTCCTCTCCTAGTTTTTTAAAGCCTTATTTTGCAATTACTAGGCTTTTTACAATCCCCGATTCTCTACAAAGCTTTTCAAGGTTTCCACAATCTTCAGTGTGATTGTGTTTTTATGTATGTGATAATGATGGCATATGGCAAAAGGGAAATTTATTACAACAATAGAATGAAAAGAAGGACAAAAACATTCGACATTTTAAAAGAAACCGGCCGATAAAATTTATGATAATCAGAAATTTGGGCATCAGAATGAGTACAATACATTGGATTCTAAAGAAAACAAACCAATAAAATTTATCATATAAAAAATTTGACATTCATTTAATAAAATATTGCTGTGTAAAATTTGACCTCTAGCAAGTCTTTCTCGAATGCGTTCCTTCAGTTGATGCATTGAAGCTGTACCACCAGTAAGCTGTGAGATATACAAAATCAGTTTCAAATATGTCCAAGTACCCTTAAACTCAGAAAGAGGTGGAACCGAGAGCACCAAATCAATATGAAGGTTTACCAGTATGGTACTAAATAGTTCTCTACGAATGTCCACATCACACTTATTAATGCTCTCTATGATCTGCAAAAGAAACGGTAAAACAATGAGCAATGGAAGAAAGAATGTACTAAAATTTACAAAAAAGAATAAATATACTATTTTTGGAAGACTGCAAAGTGAAGGAGCAATTTCTGCAATAATCTCCATGCCAGGGACTGTCTGCAATATATATTGAAGTGAATTAATAAGAGGACGCGCAGAATGGAAATTTGACTGAACTGAACCATAGAAGCATAGAACACCGCTAAAATCCCATTGAATAAAATTAAAACATCCAAGCCTAAAGCACACACCTGAACAAGGAGATGGGATTAAAAAGAATATCAGGAATCTTGAAATCTATCAGATCAGGACTTCAATAATTCTGTGAAACATTGGTATCAAAAGTTTATATGTTATTGCAGAAAAGCAATTAAAAATCAACAAATATACTTGTAGATACACAGAAGATAACAGAGACAAGAACTGAAGACCATTCAAATAATTCAAAAAAACAAAACCCTGAGTATTTTCAATACAAGTAAT